GTTGGTGTGGTTCGCCACCAAGACGGTAAATGTTTTTCCGTCATGCTTCGTTGCGCCGTCCATCCTATCAATTCCGTCTCGTTTGGGATCCGATCCACCCAAATACATGAGGCTCTGTAAGGTGGATGCTGGAACATCTAGGACGACTTGTACTTCTGTAACTGTTCGAGGCAGGAGAGTAACTTTACGTTGAGCTCTAACTCCTGTTGTCTCGAAGATGTCGAACTTGGGTGATAGCCTCGGTTCCGGTCCGGCCGGCCATGTCTTTGCTACTCCTAGTGGGAGTTCCCGAATGACGTGTTCATTGTTGATATCCGGTTCGTAGATATCACTGTACTGCATATGGCCGAGTTTTATGCCCTTCTTCAGTACCTTCGGTTGGGAGGTCGTATTCTGGATGTTTATCCAGGCCGTGTCTATCTGAGGTCGGATTTCGATCTCGGCTTCAATTGGCCGGATCGGTCGGAACTTTCTTCGCAATGTTACGAAGTGTATCCGTCTCCTCGGGTCCATTGGTTTGGCCGTCCGTACCTTGATAGAGTACGTAGAGTGAGGTGGGAGTGATACTCGTTCGCCGGTAAAGACCACTTGTCGGTCTAGCGGCCTGAAATCTCCTCCGTCCAGCTTCAAGTGATAAACTTCTGGACATTTGTTATCCAGGTTTAACCCTTCCGTTGTTGCCTTTACGGTTCGGACTTTCCGTGAGTTCGGCTGTCCTAACTTCTGTTGGTCGGTCAAGTTGACCGAGGTCGGTTGTTCGGTTGACAACTGCTGGACTACTATTGTTGGAGGTCGGAGGTCGGTTTCCTCCGGTTGTCCTCCTGCCCATTCAAATAAGGCAGCTAGCTGATCCTGTTCGGCTTGTTGCTCGGGATCCACTGGTTTAGTTTGTTTAGTCGGCTCGACGTCGACTATGAGTTCCGCGTGGACGATCGATCGCAATGCCCTCGTTAGCCTTACGTCGAAGGTCGGTTCTTCGTCCTCCGACGACTCGTCGTCCGAGCCGTTTTTCCGCGGTTTATCCGACCTACAATGTCGGACAGACGGTTCGAATTCTTCGTCGTTGTCTTCCTCGGATTCTTCCGAAGGTCGGTTATCGGAGTCAGTGTCCGCTGAATCGCTCGTGCTTTGTACATCCGAGCCGTCCGACTCATAGTCTTTGTATTCTACGGCCGATCCTTCTTCGTCGAGGTCGACTTGCGGCATGTCGCCGTGTCCGAAATTTGTGGTCGGTTCGGACAAGTCGGCCGTATGCGTCGGTTGATTCGCTCCGCCCAAAAATTTCAAGGTCGGTTGATTGTGAGCTCGTGTTGCTCAGCCATCGGATGACTGTAGGTTAAGTCTTCCGAAAACGGTCAACCTTCCGGTCTGGTTGCGGAGGTGCCGGGTGACCACGGTCTGCCGTCCAGCCAAGTTACGTTGTGACGAGTCTGTATCGCCCGTATCACTCCGTCGATGTTATCTTTACAGATAGCACATCGGTACGGTCTGTCCGTTTCGTCCAGGCGTGTGTCCACTCTTGGTCGGGGTGGGCGTGTTATGAATTTTACTCCGGTAGGGTGATGTTCTTCCACCGGTGGAAACGGGTCGGGGATGTTCCGAATTATGGACGTGTTTTTGCCATGCCGTTCCCAAAATGAAGTTGTTCCGGTCGCTCCATGCTGCTGTATACGTTGCAGGTAGGAGAAGAGTGCTCTAGCCAGTTCCTGGCAGCATACCTCTAAAGCCCTCGGTACTGGAAGTTTGTATTCCATGTACTGACGGTGGATGGGGAATCTGTCTGCCTCCCACTCGTCGGCTTCTTCTTCAATGGTTTGTTCCAAAGCGATGACCGGTTCGCACCCTCGTTGTGCTTTGCAGATCTGGTCGGGTGTCGTCGCTCCGTTAAGTCGCACAGCAGGCACTAACTCTGACTTCCGTCAGTCAAGGAAGTGCTGGACTCCCGTAAACCAAGTTCGATACTTCTGTTGTATCTCCTTTAGGTTCTTGTCCAGAGCATCCGCTTCCGTGGCGGATGCCTCTGGTGTCGGGATAGACTTTAGTATCCGCTTTGCCGGTCGTAGTGTTCCGTTGCGTATCCGCCCCTGATACTGTTCTATCACGTTGTGGAGTGCTAGTTCCTCCAGCAAAGTGCGGTTTGTATCCCGGCAATCGCGGCAGATGTTACTTGTGGAGTTCGCCGGGTGATCAAGCCGACTAATCCGAACCTCGTTTCCTACCGTGTCCGATGCCTCTGGTATCGGGATAGACTGCACTACCGTTCCTTCTGGTTGTTCCGGAGTTGGGATCGGTGTTAAAATAAAATTGAACTTTGAATGCAGGTAGTCGCATCCAAGTAGCACAGGGACGTCCGCGTCGATCGGCTGGACGTGGAAAGTGTGGTGGCTAGTAAAGCCCTGCATTGTTACAGGTGCTGTACAGAAGTGAGACACTACGAAGGCGACTTGTCCGCCCACACCCAGTATTTTAGTGTAGTGTCCGAGAGGTTGCATCGTCAGGCCGTTCCTCTCGCAAAATCGTTTCTCGATCAGCGAAGTTCCGCTCCAGTGTCGATCATCGCTGTTGTGGGCGTGGGTCCGATCTGGATTGCATGCGTCCAGGCTCTGACCGTCTTTGGTTTCTTATGGGTCCCTTTTTCGAAGGTGACTTCCCGTACTGTCGGTTTGACGGGGATCAATGACACTGGTCCGGGGTCGGTTGTAAGCTCCACTTCGGCTGCAACCACTTTCCGTACTTCAGGTCGATTAGCTACTCCGTCCTTCCGTGCTTCGGTAGTTTCGAACCGTCGTGCTTGTTCGAGTATTCGTTCCTCCATGGAGACGTCCGTCGGTCTCACGGTCGACAGCATGTAGTCAATGTTTTGGAACGTTTGAGAGCCAGTTACTGTTCGTGGCTGGGGTTGGAAGAAGCCTGTTTCCTCCGGCCGAGAGTAGACAGGAGCTTGTACTTTCAATGGGACTGTTTCCCATTCCTCCAAATCCTCCCGGTTCTTCAGTGAGTTCGATGGCTGCTAGTGTTGCAGCGTATCTATCCGTTGCGCATACGGATGATACATTGGGGTAATTTCATTTGCCCTGTGCGCGAATCGGCGTCCCGGTCCTCCGCGTCTTGGGCCTCGTCTGGGCGGCTCGGTTGGGGTTCTGCTCACCGGCAATCCGGTTCAAGTTCTATGGCCGGTCCGCTCAGCGTCACTTTCTGCGGCTGGCGGCGCGGATGCAATGTTGGCTCCGCGTAGGTCGGGCAATTGGTGCGTTCCGACCACCGACGTTCCAATGCCAAATCGAGGCACTGGGTCGGTAGATCCGGGCAATCCGTGCGTTCCGACCTCCGACGTTCCAGCGCCAAGTTGATGCGGTGGGTCGATTGGGTCGGGCATTTCTTGCGTTCCGAATCGGATCTCGATTTCGCCATTGTAGACGAATAAACCGAGTTCTGTCGCCATAGTTCGAGCGGCTTCGGCTTCCTTTGTGGAAGCTGACAGCGCCGTAAGAAATTGGTCTTCTGTGCTGTCCTCATACAGTCCTATTGCGTTTAGGACTGTTAGTATCCGGTTCTGTAGCGGAGTATAGGTCGGTTCGTTCCGTGAGAATTGCGGTTGATTAGTCGGGTTATCCTTGTCCGGTGGTTCGGTGGGATGTTGGAGCTCGAATGGGTCACCGGGGCTCATCGACCTTGGACGTTTCCCGGAGAGTTTCCCCGAGCCGGCCCATTGTTAGGCGGCGTATCCAAGGACTGGCGTGACGGTAACGGTTCTCGATACCCCGGGGACCCTTGTTGGTTCCCGCCGCTATTCCTGCGGTTCCCGCCGTTTCCTCTGCCGGGCGACCGGTTTCCTCTGCCGGAACCGCCCGAGGCTCCGCCCTGTTGTTGGCGAGGCCGCGGTGGTGGCACAATCTGTGCGTAGTTCGGGTTGTCCGAGCCAATTGGGCCATCCGTCGTATATCGTTGGTACCAGTCGTTGTACCACCGAAGATTCGGGTTATCTGCTGGTCGGTTGCCAGCGTATCCGCAGCGCGCTCCGTCGTGATTATTGAACATGCAATGTCTGCATGAGAGGGTCTTGTCCTTCGTCCATTGGAAGAACGCCGCCTCCATCTTGTCGACGTATGTTAGCGCCTGTCGAGCACTCTGTTGTGCTTGGGAAGGTCAGTTGCCTTGTGGGCTTCCGCCTCCGCCGCGGTTGGCGAAGTTGCCACGGCCGCGGTTTCCGAAGCCGCGTCCTTTTCCGCGACCGTAACTTCCGCCGCCGTATCCCTGTGTGGGGACCTGGCCGTATGCGGAGTATCCCTGGTTGGGGTTCTGGTTGTAACTAAAACTTCCGTTGTTTTGGTTGCCTCCAGAGCCATAACCAGCGCCTCCCTAGTTGTTAGGTGGGGCTGCTGCCATAGGTGGGGGCAAGTTTGGGTTCGCCACCGTTCCGGCCCAGGTCGGTTGCTGGACGGGTGCTTGTTGCACGGGTGGTATGGCCGCCGGGGTCGGTTGTCCGTACTTTGCCGGTGGAGTTTGATATCCTGGCATCATGTGCGGCTGGTAGGCGGTCTGCTGCGGAGTTTGAGGTGGTGGGGTTTGAGTCGGTACCGGCGTTGTTGCCCGTACTCGGACGTAATCGCTGTTGCGTAATTCTTTCCGCACCTCGTATATCTCCTTGCCGCTGACAAAGTCGCTGAGGAAGTCACGAAACTCAGTCAGAGTTGCCGGCATCCTAATGTCCAGAGCTTCCCTTATTTTGGGTTCGTGGATATTCTTCTTCAAGTAGTAGAGTGCGACGTTGTCGGTGATTGTACGGACCTGGGACTTCATGTACATCATGGCGTCGTAGTACTGTTCCGGAGTCTCTTGTCCGAAACGGAACGTTCGTTTAGCCATCCGTTTCACGGTGTTGATTTCCCTATTCTTGTCCGTAAACCGCGCCAAAAACTTGGTCAGCCATAAGTTGACTGGCCATCCGCCAAGGGGTTCGTCGACCTTGGTTAGTCGGTGGAACTCTTCTGCCTGGCCTTTTAGTTTGCTACGAGGTCGGCCATGAAGGTCTGGTCGGTTTCGTACCATTCCTGGGCCTGCAGGTACAGTTGGCGGATCTGCTTAAGCCACTCGTTGAGCTTAGTATAATCGCCGTCGAAGTCCGGCATGGGTTGCCGACGTCCGCGGGCCATTGCGCGTACCACAGCCACATTAGCGGGGTCCAATCCCGCTGGATTTTGGGGTGGCACTGGCGCAGCCGCTGGTGCAACTTGTTGTGCTCCCAGGGCGGGCGGTGGGTTCGCCAGAGATATCCGACCTTGGTGGTCGGCATCACCTGCCGGTTGGTAAGCCGGTCCGCCGTATCTGTTCTGTTGCGGTGGTGGCGTTCGGGCGTGATTCTGTTGTGGTGGCGGCGTTCGAGTATGTGACGTCGGCTGCCGTTGTCGTGGCTGTTCCGAATAGCCTTCATACGAGTCCGGTCGCGCTTGTGGCGCCGGCGCCGCCCTCAGTGGGGGCTGGTAAAATCCCCTCCGTTGTTCGTTTACTCTGCCATACATGCCGGGTTGTGTTCCCCTCGGTGGCAGTCGGCTTTCTGGTGGCCGAAACAGCGGCGCCCGACCTTGTTGTTCGGGATAGCCAGCCGGGTGGCGGGTCGACTTTTGTTGGTCGTAATATCCGCCCTGGTCGGCCGTGTTGTTCGACCGAGTTCTTGTTCGTCCAAAGTCGAACCCGCGTGGGTCCAGACGATTCGGATCTCCCATATCCGGATGAGAACCTGTTCGTCCCATAAACCGTCTTGGTTGGCGGTTAAAGGGGAATCCTCCTTCAGTGTTGTCCGGGTGGGATGCGGTGGGAATCGGCGCGTATGTTGTTGTACGCGTCGAGAACGAGGTGCTGGTGTATGCACCGGCCGCTGCTGTTGTAGTCGGCACATTCGACGTGGGCACATGTCGACGTATTATGTTCCGGTTCGGGTTGACTCGGAATTGGGTCCAGTTGTGGAGGCATTCCAATGTTTGGGTCTGTTGTGACCACGCTCACGAAGCAGGAGGTGTTTGTCTCCTTCCGCTCTGGGTCCGTGCTCCACGGGATGTCGTGTATGGCACGTGACGGATAGTACTTCTGTGCCATAGAAGTTCTATAGGACGGAGGTTCGGCCTTGGTCTGTTCCAGGTGCTTCTTTTCCTCCTGGAGACACCGGATTTCGGTTTCCATTTCGTCTATTTGGCTGTTCATTTCGTTGATTTTGTTGGCCGCGGTCGAGCCGTAGTCGAACAGGTCCTTTTCCCGCGCCTTTAGGTAAGCGATGCGACTTCGTTGCGCCTCGTTCACCTTTTGAGCTTCAGCTAGGCTGTATTCCAGCTGGGCTCAGAGTTTCTCCTCTTCCTTGAGGTAGTCGTTAAGGCCGAAGACCTGGTCGGCTAACTGTGTGTTAGCTTCTTCCAAGTCGGCGATATGGTTCCGCTGTTCCGTTGAGGTTGGCTGTGGACCAGGGTAAGTCGGGCTTTGTTGCCGACTCCTGGCCGTGAGGATCTCCAGTTCTGTTTGGAGTCGGTCGGTATATTGTCGGAGCTGGTCGACCTCGTTGTCGGCCTGCCGCAGTTCGACGATATACCGATCCACTTCGTTTCGGTATACTTCGGCTTCTTCGTTAGCCCGATTCAACATTTCGTGGAACTGTCCGGCTGCCTGTTCTAAGGCGACCAATGCCGTTTGTGTGTCGGCGAGGTCCTTTTCGGCCGTTTCCAATTGCTTCCCAAGTTGGAGGACGGCTTCTGTTGACCGGTCCAACTTGCCTTTGAGGTCGGTTACCTCTTCAAATGTTTCGTATCGGCATGGTCCTTCCATCCGTTTGATGAAGGCCTTAAGTTTGTCCATTTCGCGTTGTTGGTCGGCGATGACCTTGTAGAGGCCGTTGTTTTCGGCTTCCCACCTCTTCCGTTCGAGGCGGCGAGTTTCTTCCGACTGTGCACATGAGCCTTCTGCTGCATTAACGAGTTTGTCGGCCAGCACGATCTGTGTGAACAGCTGGTGACATCTTTGTCGAAGTTTGTTTATGTCTTCGATCTTCTCCGGCGGTGTTGCCGAAATAAACTTCCGTGCCGTGTACTCAAGCGCGCTGGCCTGGTACCTGTCCTTGTGGGACACTATGGGCGTTAGGAAGAATCCGTCCGCACTTTTCGGTGTTGATTCCGTTGGGTCGAAGACATCGTCGGTTGGTGGCGGTGTTTCGCTACCTGAGTCTCCGACGTCAAACATTGGGAGTGATGTTCGGTCGACAGGTCGGCTGGTTGACGACTCCGTCGACTTCCCGTTTCCTGAGCCTTTGTGGCTCGAGTCGACTTATCTTCTGTTGGCGAAGGTCGACTTAGCGGTGAATTGACCTGTTCGTTAAGTGCCGGTTTACCGGTCGGCGATCCAGCTGGGTGAGGGCCGCATCGTGGCGGTGCCTCGGTATCCTCCGTTCTGACCGTTGATTTGGTCGGCTGGACTCCGGTTTCCGACCTGTTGGCGGTTGATTTCTGTTCCAAGCTGGTCGGTTGTGTTTGACCGACCCCCTTTGGTATGTCTTCCGTGGTCGGTTTTTGTTGACCGACTTCCGTGGTGGATTGGTCGACCTTCTGTTGATCGACTTCGGAGGTCGGCTTCGGTTGTCCGACTTCCTTAGTCGGCGATGTCCGACCGACCTTTGTGGTCGGTTGCTGTTGACCGACATCGGAGGTCTGCTTCTGTTGTCCGATCTCCGTGGTCGGTGACTTCCGACCGACCTCTGTGGTCGCCGTGCCCATGCGAGGCGAGGTCGACTTCCGAGGTTCGTCCGTCCTGTTGGGTGATTTCCGTTCAACTTCGGTGGTCAGTCTGCCTTGTGGGCGCTCCTGACCGGCATGAGACATTGTTATCTCAGCCTGCAGCTGTACCGCATCCCTCCCGGTCGGGTGGGATGGGGCTGCCGATTCAGCATTAGGTTCCAGGAATGTTTTATCCCTGGCGTACTCAAAACTGTCGTCTGACGTCGGGTTCGAGTCAGCGAGGAGGATCTGCTCGTTGCGCTTCTCCCTTGCCTCTGCCGACTTAGTTGAGTCTGTTGAGGACGGCTGACTTCGTTCCTGACCGGCGTGTCGCAGTGAATATGACGTGGTCAGGTTCGCGCGCCGGGAATAGTCCGTATTGAACTTCCGTGCGTAGTCATTTTCCTTCGGATTCGACATTGTTATCGAATCACTAATGGGTCAGGTCGGTTCTTGTAGAATGTTACGATAGTATATCGTTTATGCATGAAAACATGTAAATAGCCTTAAGCGCTTCTGATGTACCACTTTAGGATCTATGTCTACGATCGTGTGCACGTGCGTTCTTACCGAACTCAGCATACTTATAAGCACGCTTCTACAGCATTGTGCTTCAGCACTTGTCTTAGCACTGTTAGCACTAAGCACTCTACGCGCTGTACTTACAGTACAGTATCAGCACGGTACATACATGGTTATGTCATCTACTAATAAAGGCTGGTAAACTACCATGTATCATTTTGGTGGCTCCAGGTGCTCGCTATGCATTCTATCTGTATAGCACGAACCACTCATCCAGTTTTTATGGATCAACCGGCCCAATCCTTTTGGTAAGTCGATACCCGCTTCGGTAGTCCCATGTCTCTGGACAAGTTATCAAAGAGGAAGAACGACGATCGTTCATTTATTGGAACCTCCCCGGAGCATAAACGTCTTGGTTTCGATCCCGCCGAAGTTTCCGTTCCCGATACGTTTTCCGAAATTCCCGACCCTGTGTTATCAGTCACTGAAGAAACAGGACGTTCGAAAATGAGCAAAAGTACCGCCGAACTCTCTAAGCAGGCGCAGGAGATCGTAACCTTACAGCGAACTGTCGCTCAACTTGCTACTAAAAATTATGAGTTGCAAAAGCTTTTCGATAATGCGAGTAAAACGTTCGACGTCATTCAGCAGATGTCAATCGTTAACAAGAAGAAAATATCGTCTAAAGATTTGCCTAAATTTTCGAATACGGACGACGAGGATTTCGAAGATTGGCTGCTCAAGTTCGAGATGTGCGTGAAGCAGCAGGACTGGACAGGTAGAGAGGCATTAGAAAATTTATATCGTTGCTTTAATGGCACCGCCCTACGCATTTACAATACCGTTCCAGTTATAAATAATACCTGGCCGTTAATGAGAAAAGCCCTCAAGGAAGTTTTTGCGAAGCAAATTTTTGATTACGATTTAACACATGATACGACAAAATCGTTAACCTATTCCGGCAACCCTAACAAATATTATTCTAACATTATGCGTTATTGGAGTTCGAATGCTGAAAGTCCCAGTGACAGAGAAATTGTTAACAAATTATTCGATGGGCTCCCAGTTAATTTAAAATCAGGTTTCGTGAAGGAAATGCCAAAAACTCCTACAGAATTTTTAAATCGTCTAAAAACAGTAGTACGTAAAAAATGATATATGGCCCAGGACACGCTGAAAGAAGTTGCGGAAAATGTGAGAAATCCATCGGTTGCGTCACTGTTTAGCAACATTGTAAACCGATCTGAACTAAGCCTCGAAGAACGATTATCTGCCCTTGAAAGTCAGTTATCTCAGCTCGTCGCAGACTGCAGTGATTCGAATGAGCATTACACTCGTCGCAAATTTTGTGATTTTTGCAATTATTCTGGCCACTCGTACGAAGAATGTTATCACCGACCAGACGACGAAGGCGATGAAACCGAACCGGCAAAGTTCGTACAGAATTCTTATGACTCACCACAAGCCTAATTAACGCAAGCACCGCAAAACGGTTTTCGCGCATAATTAAAACTGGCATGAGAGATTATATTTCATTTATTACATTGCATTAGTTCTCTCGCCGACGCTAACGCAGCCAGCCAGCCAGCTTATTGAGCATATTACTGCACTGCAGACAGTCAGGATATTATCACAGCATCAATTAATTTGCGCATCAGCTCCAAGCAGCTACGCTCTATTATTATTTCTTGAGCATAATTTTCGTGATGACATAAACCAGCACTCCCCTGCACGATTTCCTCGAATAAATATTCCGCTCTTGGTCAGCTTTTGAAAAATAAAACTGCTTCCCTGGGATAAATCGATATTAAATCGATAAATATTATTCGATTGTGTTCGTCACCCGACCAATACAGTCTTTCCTAAATTTCTGCAAACTGCCACGAATTTGGAACCAGCAAAAGAGCGCTCACCAATTCCACCAACTGTTGGTACCTACTTCAACGCAAAATGCAAAGATTTATGGACATTGCAAGAGGATCAAGATGAACTGCAGCATCCCTCGGCAAAGCGGCCCTATCCCCAGGTCGATAATTGTTCCCATATGTTTCTATTAAGCCGCTCATTTTAAAAATTGCGCATGCGGAACACGTCCGGACAGCAACAATATTAATTTACAACGCGCGTAAGAAAATTTATAAATCCAAGACGCGAGGCTAATAAAAATTAGCTATACTGCAATCATAATTCGAGATGAATTTACTAATAATTATAACGTGCACTCGCTTAATTGTTGTGGACCGAAATTGGCCATCAACTTTGAATAACTTATCCGATGTGGCAAAAAAATTTTATTTTCCTATTTGGCGGAAAACACATCCGTTATTACTTACCCAACTACTGAAGTGTATTTAAATTACATAAATTTTTTTTAAAAAAATCGGATTCTTTGGACTGATGTTGGATGGATACAAATCGCATAATTCACCGAAGAGGAGAGGAGAAGAAAC